GTCATGTGTGGGATACAAAACAGAAAGCTGCAAGTGAACAAAACAGACTCACAGACACAGACAACAGAAATAAAAGGGGGGTGTGCAGAATGAAGAGAGTAAAGGGAGTCAAATATATGGTGACAGAGGGAGACTAGACTTTGGGTGGTGGGCACACAATGCAATATACAAATGATATATCATGGAACTATACACTTGAAACCTATAATTATTAACGAATATCATCCAATAAATTTAATTTTTTAAAAAGAAATGCAGGCTTACTTCAAGAAAATTCATGTATGACAATAACACAAAATCCGCAATATCATCAGTAAATAAAAAGCAGACATATTAAACAAAGTGCAAACTAATAAACAGTTTTCTAAAATAAATTAGATTTAAAAGCATAAAGTACTTTGAAACAAAGCTCTTATAAGGGGAGACTTAACTTTATGGGTTGATGTGGCTTCTTTTAAGAAACTAAGGACTGCCCTGGCTGGTTTGGCTCAGTAGATAGAGCGTCAGCCAGTGGACTGAAAGGTCCTAGGTTCAATTTCAGTCAAGGGCACATGCCCGGATTGTAGGCTCGATCCCCAGTGGGGGGCGTGCAGGAGGCAGCTGATCAATGATTCTCATCATTGATGTTTCTATCTCTCTCTCCCTCTCCCTTCCTCTCTGAAATCAATAAAAATATATTTATTTTTTTTAAAAAGTAAAGAAACTAAGGACCAACCTCTCTACCCCAAACAAGTAATTCATTTTAAAGCTTCAAAGTTATATGCCAAGTAGCATACCTGCTACTTTGTCTAATTATTTAAAGAGACATTTATATAACCTGGACATTTAATGTTTTAAGTGAATACGTTCTATTTCTTTATTTGGTTATTTTCAAAAGCTTAACTATTGTCCCTTAAGTTTCTGATACATCAGGCATCTTAGATCTGTTACTATAAAAAAAAAAAAGTCCTAAATGAGTTTATCTTAAATGTACAGGCTTCCATGTTAAAAAGTGTTCAGTACATGAGGAGCACCTAGGTGACAATATTCAGAAAATATATTCAATTCATGAATAGTCTTTTTTTCTTTGAAGAATTCACAAATGTGACACAGTGAGGGATTGATACACTCCGCGTCAAATAAAATCCCAGAATTTGTAGGCTGTACTTACGAAACAAACTTTCCTACTTCCACTTGTAGTATTGGATCTCGTAGCTGAACTTCTAGAAGCAAATCTTCAGCTTGAGCCCCATCTCCTGTTTTTACAGGATGGGGGTTAAAGATTCGTAGGTATCCCATAAAGCTACCCACAATTATTTTATCTGCAGAGAAATTTGAAAAAAAGAATTAGAAAGAAACAAACAGTGACAAAATCTGGAAATAAACTTTCTAATGGTATTACTCTTTTATGTTGTCAAATAATAGGGGAAGCATAGCTTTAACAAAGAGCTGAGCAGGAGGCAGGATTGATCTTTTTTTCTTTTTCTTTTTTTATTGATTTCAGAGAGGAAGGGAGAGGGAGAGAGAGAGATAGAAACATCAATGATGAGAGAGGTTCATTCATCGGCTGCCTCCTGCACGCCGCACACTGGAGATTGAGCCCGCAACCCAGGCATATGCCCTGACTGGGAATCAAACCATGACCTCCTTGCTCATAGGTCGATGCTCAACCACAGAGCCATACTGGCCAGGCAGGGTTGATCATCTTTGAGGAATAGGCCTTCCCAGGTCCTATCACTGAGAGGGCAGGGCCCAGGTTTTCCTTAGAAACAATTTAGTAGGCGCTCACTACACTTCAGTACCTCACACTCTTCCTGAGCAATGTAATTTTCTCCTTTCACCCCGTCCCCCAGATTCCACTCTTCGTTATAGGCAAGAAAAATAAAAGTAAGGAAAATGTAAGGGGATAATACTTACATACACCAAATGAAAAAATCATTCTTTTTAAGAGGTCAATGACTGAGAGATTTGAAGATGGCAGCATAGGTAAACGTCTGTACTCACCGCCTCCCACAACCACATCAAAATTACAACTAAAATACAGACCAACCATCATCCAGAACCACTGGAAAGCTGGCTGAATGGAAGTCCTACAACTAGAGAAGTAAAGAAGAAAGCACAATGAGACTGGTAGGAGGTAAGGAGGCATGGAACGGGCTGGTCTGGCACCCACCTGTGCCACTTTTTTTAATCAAGGGGGAGATCGTCTCTGTGGAGACCACCTGGGGGAGACAGGGTCCCAGCCTCACACCAGACCCCCAGCCCAGGGTCCCAGAGCTGGGAAGAGAAGTCCCTATAGGCAGGAAGAACTATGGGCTGTAAAAACCAGTGGGGATTGGGGCTTAGTGACACAGAGGCTACTGGAGACCCACCTGTTCTTCTTAAAAGGCAGGCACCACAAACTGAACTTACAAAGTCCCATTTCATCTGAGCTCCAGCACCAGGACAAGGCTCTGGGGGACACAGACACATACGAGAAGGAACTGGATTGTCTGGCATCAGGGCTGGAATTCCAGGGTGGCTTTCTCTCAGATAGAGGTGCTCACAGGGATCATTGTTCCTGTGCTGGGACTTCCTCCGTCAGGTGGCGGGGCTGACTGGCAGCCATTTCTGCTTGCTTCACCCTGGTGATTCCCTAAGACCCTGCCTCATCCAATTTACAACCCTACCCAAGCTGTGTGCAGCAGCTTTTGTGCATAAATAGCCTGTCCTTGCTCAGGCTAAAATCTCTCAAACAAGCTGAAGCTGGGTCAGGGAGCCCAAACCTATCAATAAAAGGCCCAAGACCTGGCACCAGCACCAGCCTGCCTTGCTTCAGAGCTGGGCCTCATCTGGGCACTTCCAAACCCAACACAAAGAGGAGCAATCTGCATATCTCTCTGTAGCTCCTACTGGGTGGCCCCAGGCAGTGGCTGACTTTGCACCTCCCTGAAGACCCAAGAGCCAGTATACAGTGTCAGACAATACCAGATTACAATTCTATACATCCATAAGCAACACACTCAAGGGGCAGACTCAGTGAGCACCAAAGCCCCACTGAAGCAAGTCCTGCTCCATAGCGGTGTCTCCTGCATAGCAGCTCCCCTACTGTAGTTGCAGCTGGTCCTCACAGCCAATTGGCCTGGAGGTCAATTCCTCCCAGTGACACCAACAGCAATCAAATCTCATCTACAACAAGACTGTTCTCACAGCCCACAAAGGGGTGAACCTAGAGCTCTCAGCTCAGGTGACTGGGGAGGCTGAGCCACTGGGTTCTATATGACACCTGCTACACAAGGCCACTCTACCAACTCAAGGAGATATAGCAGCCCTACCCAATACTAATACATAGAAACAAATACAGGAAGCAGCCAAAATGCAGAGACAAAGAAACATGTTACAAATGAAAGAAAGCAAATTAATGGATATAGAGTTCAAAATCACAGTTATAACGTTACTCAAGAATCTTCTAGAAACCTCCAAAAAAATGAAAAAGGACCAGTCAGAAATTAAGTATACAATGACTGAAATAAAGAATAATATACAGGGACTCAACAGTACAGTAGAGGTTTCTGAGAATCAAATCAATGATTTGAAATATGAGGAAGCAAAACACACCCAACCAGAAGAGCAAGAAGAAAAAAGAATCAAAAAATATGAAGACAGTATAAGGAGCCTCTGGGACAACTTCAGGCATACCAACATTCACATTATGGGGGTGCCAAAAGAAGAGAGAGAGTGAGACATTAGAAACCTATTTGAAGAAATAATAACAAAAAACTTTCACCAGGTAGGGAATAGACTTACAAGTCCCGGAAGCAAATAGAGTACCAAACAAGAGGAACTCAAAGAGGACCACACCAAGACACATCATAATTAAAATGCCAAGAGCTAAAGACAAAGAGGGAATCTTTTTTTTTTAATATATTTTATTGATTTTTTACAGAGAGGAAGGGAGAGAGACAGAGAGTCAGAAACATCAATGAGAGAGAAAGACCGATCAGCTGCCTCCTGCACATCTCCCACCGGGGATGTGCCCGCAACCCAGGTACATGCCCTTGACCGGAATCGAACCTGGGACCCTTCAGTCCGTAGGCCGATGCTCTATCCACTGAGCCAAACTGGTTTCGGCAAAGAGGGAATCTTAAAAGCAACAAGAGAAAAGCAGTTAGTTACCTACAAAAGAATGCCAATATGACTGTCAGATGATTTCTCAACAGAAACTATGCAGGCCAGAAGGGAGTGGCAAGAAATATCCAAAGTGATGAATAGCAAGAACCTACAACCAAGAATACTCTACCCAGCAAAGCTATCCTTTAGAATTGAAGGTCAGATAAACAGATTCCCAGACAAGAAAAGGCTAAAAGAGTTCATCACCACCAAACCAGTGTTATATGAAATGTTGAAGGGTATTTGTATTCTTTAAGAAGAAGAAGAAGAAGAAAAAGATCAAAAACATTAACAACAAAATGGCAACAAATACACACCTATCAACAACTGAATCTAAAAATTAAAATAAATGAATAAGAAATCTAATGAACATAATAAACTGGTGAATAAAATAGAATCAGAGGCACAGAAATGGAACAGACTGATGATTCTCAGAGTGAAGGGGGTTGGGGAGGCAGAAAGAGATTAAACAAAGATCTTATATGCATATATGCACTACCTATGGACACAAACAATAGGGTGGCAAAGGTCTGAGGTGAGGCGAGACCTGGATGGAGGAGGCAATGGGGGTGGAAAAAGAGGGACATCAGTAATAATCTCAACAATAAAGATTTTGAAAAAAAGAGGTCAATGACTATCCAGATTACAAAAAAAAAGCTCATGACTATAAATCATTAAAACCAAATACAAATCTTAAATAGCAATGATATAGAACTAAAATGTTTTAAAGACCACTTTAAAAATATGAAGATGCAAAGAGGAGCAACTAATCTACACTAATAAAAGAAAAACATGCAAATTGGTGTCACTCTGCTACGCCCACCAGCCAATCAGAGTGAGTATGCAAATTAACACAACATGGTGACTAATTTGCATACACAGGCACAGAGCAAAGACTGAAGATAGCATAGAAGGAAGCCAAGCGTTGCAGAAGGGAGCAAAGCAGCGGAGAAGGGAGGGAGCTGAGGCAGCAGAGATGGGAGCAGAGCCAAGGCAGCAGACACGGGAGGGAGCAAGGCAGCAGAGAAGGGAGCCCTTCTCTGCTTTACTCCAGCCGCAGGAAGCCCTATTCTTGCAGGAATCTTCCTGCAACAGGCCTCTAGTATAAGAATAAAATAGAATGTTTTTCTAGTATTATGAAAACGAAAGCAATGATTTAACAATTATTTTCTACCAAAACATCGAGCTTGCATAATTTCTCCATTCTTGTATGATTGGCTTTCATATTCAATTTAAAAAGAATGTAATTTGCTTTCCATGCCAACAGTGCTCTAGCAAACATGATAAATGTTTCTTAAACCTGCTGGACTTTCCTCTTTTTTTTAAAGATATTTCATTGATTTTTAGAGAGAGAGTAAGGGAGAGGAAGAGAGAAAACTTCAATCAATCGGCTACCTCCTGCACGCCCCTGACTGAGGATGGAGCCTGCAACCGGGTCATGTGCCCTGACCACAATCAACCAGCAACCTTTCAGTTTGTTGGATGACACTGAACCAACTGAGCCACACTGGCCAGGGCAAATCCGCTGGACTTTCTATAAGAATGTGGCAAGTATCAACCCCACAAAGTAACACAGTACAAGAAGGGCAAGGATTCTCTGTATGGGCAGGGACAGTGGCATTATGACAGGAAGCAGACTGGTTGTGGGGGGCAGACTAGGTGGATTTTCTGCAAAAAGGCTAAAACTACAAAGAAGATTGTGCCGAGGCTTGAATGTGTTGAGCCCAACTGCAGATCTAAGAGAATGCTGGCTATTAAGAGATGCAAGCATTTCGAACTGGGAGGAGATAAGAGAAAGGGCCCTGGCCACCTGGTAGGTCAGTTGGTTAAAGCATCATCCTGATATGCCAAGGTTATGGTTCAATCACCAGTCAGGGCACACACAAGGAGCAACCAATGAATGCATGAATAAGTGGAACAACAAATCAATGCTTCTCTCTCTCTCTCTCTCAATAAAAAAATAAAATAATTTAAAAAAAGAGAAAGGGCCAAGTGATCCAGTTCTAAGCTTCATATTTTGTTTTATTATGTGACAACCAATACTTGAGGATAAAAAAATGAATAAGTAATAAAAATAACAATTTTTATTTTATTTTCTTTCAAATAATTTCTTAAAAAAGCTTTTTCAAAATTCTAAATATTTTTCCAGTTCTACTAATCTTACAACAAATGGAAACTGCTGGAAGCCAAGAACAACAGCAATTAATACAAATGGGAGAAGTCCCCTCAGAAGACTGAATAGGGCTTTGATATTCAGAAGGCTGAATGTCTGCATGATTATTACCTGCTGCTGACTCAATGGCCAAAGGCAACCCACCATAACCTGATAATCCTTTCACTGTTTACTAAACATTACCTTTGATATGCCTGTTTGCATTCCTAAAAGGCAATTGTGTATTCTAGTAAATAAAAAGAAGATGGGTGAGGAGATTCAGTGGAGCTTAGTCCCTTGAACTAAGTTCACAGCTGGCTTCCCCCATAATTTCCAAATTTATATTTCTTGTTTTGTGTATTAATTTTCATATCAGCCCTTTCTCCAGGCCTTTGAACCCAGGCCACACGGGCTGTGGCCTCACAGGAAACGATTTAAATGATGTCTTATAGTATTTTTCTGAGCTCCAGCACACAGTAGCTACCTAAATATCACTAATAAGGAAAACTACCTTCAAAATAAGGGCATAATTATGACAGTTCACAGAAGTCCCATAAAAGTACATATTTTAAAAGGAAGTTGTTTTTATTTCATCTCTGTAACGCTTTGCTCTAAGATGCAGGGTCATAATTTACTTACCTTGTCCATTTCCACTATTATCAACATCAGCCAAACACAAACAGCCTTGATCAAATTCTTCTTTTTGTCCCAGAACAGTAGACCACCAATCACGGGCTTTAAATAAAGACATTTTCGTTCACTCTAAAAAGAAAACATGTGTTCACAGTAAAAATCCACTTCACACCATGAATTATGAATTAATTACCTCTGAAGGCAAATTAAACTTGGAAAACTTTGAGAAAAACATTCCTGTATTAACTTTGATTTTTTTGTATTTTGTGGGCACATGTGAAACCACAAATCTAAATGGCCAGAAGCATTAATCAGATATTTTGCAAGGACCTTTGAAAAGCCAGGATAAAAAATTATACATTTATGTTGGGCCTGTTCTCTCTTCTGGAAGATTTTGTAGACAACTGCATGAAGCACCAACAGAAACTACTATTTGGAGGTTAAAATTCTACCATCACTAGTTTGCACATAATTCCTTAGCAAAATATTGAATTTCCCTTCATTTTTATCACAAAAGACTGCAGCATCTCCAGCCACAATGAGTCGCTGAGAAGAGCAAATGAGACCAAAGGACTAACACTGGAACTTGTACATTACAGGTCCTCAAAAAGCATTCACTCCCTTTCCCATTCTAACTATATAAAGGCAAAATGAAAAAGGGAAATTCACACCAAAAAAGAAGCAGGAAAACTGGGTTATAGGTCCATCTACAGCACTACCTGTGTGTCCTCAGGCAACCCACAGAGGCTCTCTAATGCTTTGATTCCTCGGCTAGAGTGAGGATATGCCAACCATACCTACCACTGAGCTATTGATATGGTGCTTGTGAAAGCCCATTGGACCTTCTGAATTACAGCACAAACATCACATGCCCTGGGATGCCAGGAGAGTAAATGTACCATAAGTGAGGCTTTCCCGAAAGCTAGATGGATTTAAAAGATAACAGGAAATGCAGTCAATTCTCCTTATTCAAAAAAAGTTATGTTCCAATGTCACAAGCACTGAATTAGCAAATACTGAACCACTGTCCTAGGAAAAATTCAAGGGCTGCTACAAGCCTCTAGTCACATTTTCATCAACAAATCACTACATAACTTTTGTGTGTGTGTGTGTTTTTGTTTGTTTTTTTTTAAATATATTTTATTGATTTTTTACAGAGAGGAAGGGAGAGAGATAGAGAGCCAGAAACATCGATGAAAGAGAAACATCGATCAGCTGCCTCCTGCACGCCCCCCACTGGGGATGTGCCCGCAACCAAGGTACATGCCCCTGGCCGGAATCGAACCCGGGACCCCCCAGTCCGCAGGCTGACGCTCTATCCACTGAGCCAAACCGGTTAGGGCACCATTATATTCTTCTATTAAAATAAATTTTAA